GTTCAGGGTTCAGGTACCTGAACCGAGGGTCCCAGACTGCGAGCGCAAGCAGGCTTGGCCACATCATCAATGACGGAGCCCTAAAATTGGGGTCAGATACCCTATACTACGATACTTCCTTTTAAGGAATATGAGCCACAAACCCTTTTTGGGTTCATGTGTTCTCCCTAAGGATATTCTTCGGTGCGTTCCTGCGTAGAAGCGGGATCCGGGGATGCAAATCGCGTCGTGCTTTGTGCCTCATTCTCGCGTTCTAGTGTGTTATATTTCCTCGGAGATGTTTCCTCGGAGGTGATGCCCTGCACGCCGTCTTCGGAGAATGCCCAGATGAATGCTTGGGACAGGGTCCGAATCTGAGGTGTGCAAAAGTCCGGAGAAGTGGAAAGTTCTTGGGCTTAACGGGGCGTTTATGAGTTTTATGTAATTTGGACTTTGCTCGGCTTTGCTTGGCTTGTTTTAGCACTGTCGGCTCAGGCCTGGGCCTGGCAGAGCGCCGCAATCACGCAGATGGACGAACTTACGAGCACCCGTTGGAGCCTCTGAGCTCGTGCCTGTCGTGGGGCCCTTCTTGCGAAGCCTATCTTGAGTCTACCGGAGTCCCTTCACCCCTAAACCATAGACCCTAAAGACCCAAACCCTAAACCCTAAACCCTAAACCCTAAACCCTAAACCCTAAACCCTAAACCCTAAACCCTAAACCCTAAACCCTAAACCCTAAACCCTAAACCCTAAACCCTAAAAAACCCCAAACCCGAAACCCGAAACCCTAAACCCTAAACCCTAAACCCTAAACCCTAAACCCTAAACCCTAAACCCTAAACCCTAAACCCTAAACCCTAAACCCTAAACCCTAAACCCTAAACCCTACACCCCAAACCAGCCACACTCTGGCGCCAGAGTCTGAGCAGCGTCTGCCGAGGCTCCCTGGAGCTGGTCTTCGTAGAGTTTCTCGAGGCCATTCGCCTGACTTGACTTCCCCTTTTAGGGTTTAGGGTTTAGGGTTTAGGGTTTAGGGTTTAGGGTTTAGGGTTTAGGGTTTAGGGGCTCCGAAATTCTCGAAGTTCTCTCAGTTCTCTCAGTTCGCCTCAGTTCTCTCAGTTCTCTCTGTCGCTGAAGGCGCTTGCTCGTGTTGTGGGACTTCTCAGATCCCGGAAGAGGGTGCTGGAGGCACGTGCAAGCTCGCGTATCTTCACAGACTCGGATGCTCCAGCAGCAAGGTAGCTCCCTAAACCCTAAACCCTAAACCCTAAACCCTAAACCCTAAACCCTAAACCCTAAACCCTAAACCCTAAACCCTAAACCCTAAACCCTAAACCCTAAACCCTAAACCCTAAACCCTAAACCCTAGGAACCTGAAGTTTGCTTCAGGGCCAGAGCCCGGACCAGAACGAAGAACCCTGGGACTACGGCACCTCGGTACCGCAGTCAGGTATCCTTTGTGCTTGTGCCGGTTTTTTTAAACCCTAAACCCTAAACCCTAAACCCTAAACCCTAAACCCTAAACCCTAAGCCCTAGGCCCTACGCCCTAAGCCCTAAGCCCTAAGCCGTAAGCCCTAAGCCCTAAGCCCTAAGCCCTAAGACCTAAACCCCAAACAAACCCAATTGCCCCAGGCATCGGGCCTGCCTCTCCTCCGACCATCTTCTGTTTGGACCAGGCTGGGCACGAGGGCTGCGAGGGTGGAGCTGCATGGCTAGGGGAGAAAGGCGGAGAAACCTGACTTCTCTCACAACAGATGTAGCAAACGAAGCCCCCCCGCGAGCCTGTACATCCTACCAGTACAATAAGATGCTTGCGTGGGATGGATGGAGGTGGGTCAAGCCTTAGAAGGAGATGTGGCGTGGGTGATTGGAGACATCGTCTGGCCATGACTTAGCCTTACATGACGTCCCACCATCAAGTTAGGATGTCAAACGCAGCTGTTGGGTAGGAAGCCCAAGACAAGCATCGAGAAACGAACGGGAACTGTTGAGTAGCCTTATACCGAGAAGGAGAGGTCGGCTATCAACGGCGTGTATACGAAGGGTACGTAACGAAACTAAAAAGAGTGTCTGGACGGTGGCCAATTCTGAGCTTAAGCTTCGTGCAAAACTTAACTTAATGTGCGTGATCTCCGACGACGCAGACACACGACCAAACAGGTTCATTCCAACAAAAACTTGACGTGGGCTGAATGACATGTCTTGGCAGGGAGTCATGGACCCCGACGCATTCGCCTCGCATCTCGAGACGTTCCTCTGCGGGCCTCTCGTGAAGCAGGCCACATGGGGCCCCACATTCTGCCCCACATGTCCCACATGCGGCCCCACATGGCATCAGCTCTGGTCACTGGTCCTTCGCTTTAACTCAGGCGTTGCCGAAGTGAGCGGGCCATAGGCAGCCATATGGTGAGTGCCCAAGCCAGGGCCAAGCGCCCACGGCCGATGACCACTCAACATCCCCGCTACCTAGGTTGAAACGAGATGCGAAAGTCTCGCGGCTCACTCGTTGGGGGGGAAAAGCTGAGCTGAAATCGCAGATCTGGAGAAAGTAAGATTAGGTGAGAAGCCATCTATTGATTACATTGTCTCAAGCATGCCACAGATGGACGTCAAGGGAAATGTCCACCAGCATCCTAAACGGGAAGGCTGGATCTGTACATAGAGCGCGCTTGGCTGGCTAGGAAGCCCAAAGATCCCGGCACACCAAGACAGCCTCGGCTATCGTGTCTTTTTTGCACCCTAAACCCTAAACCCTAAACCCTAAATGCTACATCAGAGCAGATTTTCCTGCGCCATCTTGCGCCGCAGGATCAGGGGGATCGGAAAGCCTGCTGAGGTTGGCCAGCTCATTTCCTCCTCCAAGCGCCGCCTCCCGCACTCCGGTGCACTCGCGCGAAGCTGCGTGAGTCGAAGGAGTCGTTAAGCGAAAAGATCGGTCAATCAGATTGCAGGGCAGCGTCGATGTGTCTACCTTCTGCAATGTTGTTGTGTAGTGCAAGCAGCATAGAAGTTACATACGCGACTGTCAACACATGTCACACCATGTCACACTGCCAGCATGCCTTAAGCAAGGGTTCAGAAGGCCCGAAGAATGCTCCAGGGGCGAATGGTGTCGATGGCCGGAAGGTTCCACAGTTTGCAACGAGACCCCACCAAGCAGGTAGAAGACTTCAAGTCGGGGGCGCTCCCGGCTTTTTCGAGGTCCGTGGAGGGTCTTTAAAGGCTCCCGAAAAGTCGTCCATAAGGGCCCGATCGGGCCCTTATCAGAGTAGGTACGCCGGGAGGTTCCCCAGGCAGAGAATGGCCCATGCTGATCTTCAACATCACGGCAAGCCTGCTCAATGGCAGCCCTGACATACTCTTTGCAATGCTGGTCTGGCTGATCAAGGTTGACCACTTATATACATCATCACACTCCCTGAGCATATTGTGGCCGTGGCCGCTGTCTCGGGCTCGTGGACAAGGCAATTTCCCCTGCCAGCGCAGAGCATAGCTTCGCAGCCATGGGGCAGGCCGGCCAGCAGCGAACCAGGCAGAAGAAGTACAGCAACAAGAAGTCCGGCCCCAAGGGTGTGAAGAAGACCGTGGAGAAGAGCACCCCCAAGCTGAAGAAGAACATCACCCCGGGATCGGTGCTGATCCTGCTTGCGAGCAAGTTCAGGGGCCGACGTGTTGTTTTCTTGAAGCAGTTGGAGAGCGGCCTTCTGTTGGTCACCGGCCCCTACGCCATCAACGGCGTGCCGCTGAAGCGAGTGAACCAGCGGTACTGCATCGGCACCTCAACCAAGGTCGACCTCAAGGGCGCAGACTGCTCATCCATCACCGATGCCTACTTCGCCAGCGACAAGGCCAAGAAGAAGTCAGGGGCGCACTCTCAGGAGTCTTTCTTTCAGGCTGACGCCCCAAAGAAGGTGACCCCTCAGGAGAAGAAGGACGGCCAGAAGAAGATGGATACACCCATCGTGGGTGGCTTGAGCGCGGACCTCAAGTCCTACCTGAAAACTCGTTTCGCCCTGACTTCCAAGATGTACCCCCACGAGCTGAAGTTCTGAGTCTGATCAATCACACGCTTATCTTCAGAAGGGCGGCCGCAGTGGGAAAAGTCGCAAGTGTGTTTGTGTTTGACAATCCGGCACGGACCGTTCGCAAGATGATTGCCCACACACTCACAGGAGTCAATGCTGATAGCTGAAAATCGCTCTTGGCTCACAACAAGGTTGCGTTTCCCTGCTCGTGCAGTGTGTAGCTCCGCAGCCATGGGGCAGGCCGGCCAGCAGCGAACCAGGCAGAAGAAGTACAGCAACAAGAAGTCCGGCCCCAAGGGTGTGAAGAAGACCGTGGAGAAGAGCACCCCCAAGCTGAAGAAGAACATCACCCCGGGATCGGTGCTGATCCTGCTTGCGAGCAAGTTCAGGGGCCGACGTGTTGTTTTCTTGAAGCAGTTGGAGAGCGGCCTTCTGTTGGTCACCGGCCCGTACGCCATCAACGGCGTGCCGCTGAAGCGAGTGAACCAGCGGTACTGCATCGGCACCTCAACCAAGGTCGACCTCAAGGGCGTAGACTGCTCATCCATCACCGATGCCTACTTCGCCAGCGACAAGGCCAAGAAGAAGTCAGGGGCGCACTCTCAGGAGTCTTTCTTTCAGGCTGACGCCCCAAAGAAGGTGACCCCTCAGGAGAAGAAGGACGGCCAGAAGAAGATGGATACACCCATCGTGGGTGGCTTGAGCGCGGACCTCAAGTCCTACCTGAAAACTCGCTTCGCCCTGACTTCCAAGATGTACCCCCACGAGCTGAAGTTCTGAGCCTCAGACTAACATGCAAACTCTGCAAGACCTGCACGCGCCTGGAAAATTTTGTACATTTCCTTGAGTGAGGCAGCTTGTCGACTAATGGGTTCGAGCAGCTTGCATCTTTGTTCGGCCAGGTGAGACTCGCACCCTGAAATGCGTCGGAAATTGTGGCTCAAGGGTGTCGAGACACATCCATCGTTGCAGCGAGGGAGCATTGCTGCGCAGCCATGGGGCAGGCCGGCCAACAGCGAACCAGGCAGAAGAAGTACAGCAACAAGAAGTCCGGCCCCAAGGGTGTGAAGAAGACCGTGGAGAAGAGCACCCCCAAGCTGAAGAAGAACATCACCCCGGGATCGGTGCTGATCCTGCTGGCGAGCAAGTTCAGGGGCCGACGTGTTGTGTTCTTGAAGCAGTTGGAGAGCGGCCTTCTGTTGGTCACCGGCCCGTACGCCATCAACGGCGTGCCGCTGAAGCGAGTGAACCAGCGGTACTGCATCGGCACCTCAACCAAGGTCGACCTCAAGGGCGCAGACTGCTCATCCATCACCGATGCCTACTTCGCCAGCGACAAGGCCAAGAAGAAGTCAGGGGCGCACTCTCAGGAGTCTTTCTTTCAGGCTGACGCCCCAAAGAAGGTGACCCCTCAGGAGAAGAAGGACGGCCAGAAGAAGATGGATACACCCATCGTGGGTGGCTTGAGCGCGGACCTCAAGTCCTACCTGAAAACTCGCTTCGCCCTGACTTCCAAGATGTACCCCCACGAGCTGAAGTTCTGAGATGCTGGCCAACCTCGTGAGCAGTGGTTCAGGACACGATGGACGAAAATTGCGCTTTCCGCCGAGTATATATATATATATATATACACATATGTATCGTCGTGCAGCTGCCGTAGTCGCCGTTAGATTTGAACGCAGGTTTGCAACATGAGCCGCTCCTAGGTGACCTGCTTCTGGACAACTGCTGCTCACCGGCTCGGAATAGGGCACAGGTTCAGGCCACTTCGCCACTTCTAGCCACTCACAGCATGGGAATCTCACGCGACTCGAGGCACAAGCACTACAAGACCGGAGGCCGCAGCAATGTCTCCATCAAGAAGCGCAAGTACGAGATGGGCCGGCCAGCCACTCCTTGCAAGCTGGGCAACAAGCGCGTGCGAGTGGTGCGTTGCCGTGGTGGCAACAAGAAGTACCGTGCCTTGAGGCTAGACACGGGCAACTACGCCTGGGGCTCCGAAAACGTGACGAAAAAAGTCAGAATCCTGGATGTGGTCTACAATGCCACCAGCAACGAACTGGTGCGAACCAAGACATTGTTGAAGAACACGATCGTGCAGATCGATGCCCACCCGTTCATGCAGTGGTACCTGAAAAAGTATGGCATGGACCTGGGCAAGAAGAAGAAGGGTGCTGAGAAGAAGGAAGAGAAGAAGGAAGAAACAGAGGAGCACAAGAGCCGACATGTGCTTGCAAAGCAGAAGGCCCGTGCTGCCAACCAGAAGCTCGACATCAACCTCGAGGAGCAGTTCCAGAGCGGACGCCTTCTGGCGTGCATCGCCTCCCGCCCTGGCCAGTGCGGCCGCGCGGACGGCTACGTTCTCGAGGGCGAGGAGCTGAGCTTCTACAGGCGCAAGCTCGAGAAGAAGAAGAAGAACTGAGATGCACCCCCCAGGCACAACAGCACACGCGAAGATTGGCAGGTCCTAAAAGTTGGCTGTTGTGTCGCAATACTGTCATCGTGAGGGAAGGCACATGAAAGGTTCACATGAAAGGTATAGAGCTTGAAGCTCACCGCGCAGCCATGGCAGAAGAATCGTCTGGTTGTTGTGGCTCTCAGGATTTGCCCTTGGCAGAAAGCCCGCATAGGCGGTGTAGGTTTGCAGCATGGGAATCTCACGCGACTCGAGGCACAAGCACTACAAGACCGGAGGCCGCAGCAATGTCTCCATCAAGAAGCGCAAGTACGAGATGGGCCGGCCAGCCACTCCTTGCAAGCTGGGCAACAAGCGCGTGCGAGTGGTGCGTTGCCGTGGTGGCAACAAGAAGTACCGTGCCTTGAGGCTAGACACGGGCAACTACGCCTGGGGCTCCGAAAACGTGACGAAAAAAGTCAGAATCCTGGATGTGGTCTACAATGCCACCAGCAACGAACTGGTGCGAACCAAGACATTGCTGAAGAACACGATCGTGCAGATCGATGCCCACCCGTTCATGCAGTGGTACCTGAAAAAGTATGGCATGGACCTGGGCAAGAAGAAGAAGGGTGCTGAGAAGAAGGAAGAGAAGAAGGAAGAAACAGAGGAGCACAAGAGCCGACATGTGCTTGCAAAGCAGAAGGCCCGTGCTGCCAACCAGAAGCTCGACATCAACCTCGAGGAGCAGTTCCAGAGCGGACGCCTTCTGGCGTGCATCGCCTCCCGCCCTGGCCAGTGCGGCCGCGCGGACGGCTACGTTCTCGAGGGCGAGGAGCTGAGCTTCTACAGGCGCAAGCTCGAGAAGAAGAAGAAGAACTGAGAATCATCTTTGCGTTGCTTTGTTGAATGTTGCAGACAGGACATCGACCAAGGGCATCTCAAAAAGGAAGACTTACCTGACATTCATATTTCTCGAGTTTTTGCGTTGTTTGGCGAGTCTGTTCCAGGTCAGGCCATCATGCAAAGCATGCAGTGGAAGCAGAAGCCATGCTGCTCAATGCTGCCCGAGCATGGATGGTACAGCTCATTGCAACCCCAAACCTCCAAGACTAATTATCACAGCCATTATCATTGGCCATGGATGGGGCTGCTATGGAGTAGCTACGCATCACACGGCCTTCGATAAAGAACGACAGGCAGCACACGTTCAGAGCAGAAAGAGGCAGAAACTGGCGGGTTCTTAGTAGGGAATGAGGGCAATGAGCGCCCTATTCATACGCTCCAAGGGACTATATAGGTACCAGCCCTATATACACACTTTAAGGGATGATATAGGTACTAGCCCTATATACACGCTTTAAGGGACTATATAGGTACCAGCCCTACATATACGCTTTAAGGGACTACATAGGTACCAGAGAAAGCATGGCCCCGGCTCCGCCGACTTCACCCGTAAGCCCGAGCTACCGCGCCGAGTTTCGCTCGCTGAGGAAGTGCTGGGATGGGGGGGGCCCCCATGCGGCGGGGGGGGGGCTTCCGAAAATACGGGGGGCACCCTTTTGGGGGTTCCTAGAATAAGGATTTCATGCTATTTTTTGGGTTTTTGAAGCTCTTTTTGATGGGGGCACCCTTTTGGGGGTTCCTAGAATAAGGATTTCATACTATTTTGGGGTTTTTGAAGGGCGCCCCCCCCCCCCCCCCCCCCATTTTTGGAGATGCCCATGTGGGGCCTGTTTCTGAAGTGCTGAATGTCTTAGGTTCTTTAGACTGATGCTTGGGAAAGTGGCGCTCCATCGGACTCCACAGGCAAGCGCTGCTGCAGCTGCGCGAGGAGAGTCCGTGCGCTTCTCTTGATTTTTCTCCCTCCGTCTCTGTCTCTGTTTAGGGTTTAGGGTTCTCTCTCTCTCTATCTCTCACTTTCTTTCTATATGGAGCCCACGTCTGGTCCCTCTCAGTCCGCATCCAAAGCAGTTGGCCCAGCACAATTATCCGAATGTTGAGAAGCCAAAATCTAAAGTGACCCTAAACCCTAAACCCTAAACCCTAAACCCTAAACCCTAAACCCTAAACCCTAAACCCTAAACCCTAAACCCTAAACCTTAAACCCTAGAGCCGCGAGGAGCAGGGGGCACTTGTGGAGTGCCTTTTCGAACAATGCCTCTTGCGGCCAGATACCTTCGCTGCCTCCTTGCACAGGCAGGGTTCAGGGGTTAGGGTTTAGGGTTTAGTGTTTAGGGTTTAGTGTTTAGGGTTTCGGGTTTAGGGTTTGGGGTAGCTGTGCAGCATCTGTTCCGTGTGTAAGATTTCTGTGCCATGAGAATGCGTGAGGCTTCATATCTTGGCAGGCTCCAAGAGAACATTGCAGCCATGACAGTGTATGGCAGCCAAATCTGTACCTTCAACTACTCTCCCATCAAATATGTGCGGATATTTGTGGCCTCCTTATATAATTGCCAAGCAACCCAACAGCTAAACCCTAAACCCTAAACCCTAAACCCTAAACCCTAAACCCTAAACCCTAAACCCTAAACCCTAAACCCTAAACCCTAAACCCTAAACCCTAAACTCTAAACCCTAAACCCTAAACCCTAACCCCTAAACCCTAACCTAACCCAACCCCTAATCTAAACCCTAAACCCCTAAACCCCTAAAACCCTAACTCTAAACCTAAACCTAACCTAAACCCTAACCCTAAACCCCTAACCCTAACCCTAACCCTAAACACCTAAACCTACCCCCAACCCCTAAACCCTGAACCCTGAACCCTGAACCCTGAACCCTGAACCCTGAACCCTGAACCCTGAACCCTAAACCCTAAACCCTAAACCCTAAACCCTAAAACCCTAAACCCTAAACCCTAAACCCTAAACCCCAAATAAAGAGTCCCTTTGTGCCAGGCGCCGCTTTCAGGCCGCCTTGCTTCGGGCCCCTTGCAGCTTCGAGGCCACGCTACGGGACGTGCTGGAGGCACGTCCAGTCTAGGGTTTGGGGGTTTGGGGTTTCGGGTTTAGGGTTTGGGGTTTAGGGTTTGGGGTTTAGGGTTTTGGGGTTTGAGGCGAAATCAATCGAGTGACGCACTTCTTGGGTGGGCACTCCACAGATTTCCTGGGATTCTTGGCGAGACTTCTGCCGTGGAGACTACGGAGACCGAAGCAAGATCTGCAGAAGGGTTCGGCCCCTTTGAACTCGACAGTCTTCCAGAGACCCTCAACCCCTAAACCCTAAACCCTAAACCCTATCCCTAAACCCTAAACCCTAAACCCTTAACCATTATAAACCCTAAACCCTCTACCCTAGAACAGCAGCACACAGGGACGGAAAGGACAGTAGAAGTAGCCTTCGATTTGCGGGCGCCGCGCAAACAGACAAAGCCTCTCACCGAAGACAGGGAACTAAGTAGGCCCTTGGGACATTTTATATTTCCCCTTATTGGGTTTAAGAGGGTCATATTCAGGAATATTTTTCAGAGGGTTTTAAGGGCCATCCTAGAAAAATGATAAATGACTCATCAAAAAAAATGTGGCAGTATCATGCCTCCGGGAGAGGGCACTACATAGATACGCACAGGCTCGGAAAGCTGCATGTCCACTCGGCTCTGTATCCACCCGGCTCTGATAAGCCTAAATCCTAAACCCGAAACCTTAAACCCTCAACCCTAAACCCTAAACCCTCAACCCTAAACCCTAAACTCCCTAACCCTAAACCCTAAACCCGAACACGCCGAAGAGAACGGCGCAGAACATCCCCCGGAGAAGTACTCCACACAGACACAGGCCATGATCAGCAACTCACCTCCGAGTCTCCCAGGAGCCAGCCCATTTAGCCCTGCAGACTGCCCGTTTCGCCGGCCACCAAGCGCTGCGATGTTTGCAGGCCAGCATGGCCGTGGGCTGCGGGGAAGCGTTCGATTCGGGGTTTAGGGTTTGGGGTTTGGGGTTTGGGGTTTGGGGTTTAGGGTTTAGGGTTTGGGGTTTAGGGTTTAGGGTTTAGGGTTTGCGGGCAGCTTGCCGATCAGGGCCGAAGGCCGGTGCCATGCGCAGGCAACCTGTCGGTCCCTAGCGGAGAAGCTGTGCAACAACGCCCCCAGTCTGCAGGCCAGAATCAGCCATGACTGTTTAGGGTTTAGGGTTTAGGGTTTAGGGTTTAGGGTTTAGGGTTTATGGGGGCTGGATCTTAGTAGGGAATGAGGGAATGAGGGCCCTATATAAACCCTTTAAGGGAGTATATAGGCACCTCATTGCCTCATTCCCTACTAAGGATCTGCCATGAGTGACCGGTAGAGTGAGTGAAGAGGCATTCCCAGAGTAGGAGAGTGACCCTGGGTTCCTAAGTGCTGTTAACCCCGCCAAGTTTGTGCCAAGTAGTTCCAAGTTGCCAGCAAGCTCGCACCTTCCCGGCTCGCGGCACTGTGACGGTGCTTTCATGCCGTTCTGCGAGGATTCCTTGACGTGGCTCTTCGTAGTAGGCGGCAGCGATCACATGGAGGCACGCCTGCATCTGCGGTTCCTTTTCGGCAGCTCCGCACACGCTGACAGTCATCCGCTTGGGGGATGCAGCTGCATGTGCTAGGTGCGACGGTCAGGGGAGCGGCTGGATCCCTCAACTGGGCTGTGGGAGGCTGCACGGTGCGCTGACGGGATGCAGACTGCATGATAGTGGCTGCTTTGCAGATGTCTAGGCCTTCATGAGATCATGAATGATCTTATAGCAAAGCAGGTTAGTGGAGCTTAACACTTAAACTTAAGAGCTCTGAAGATGTGTTCTATGCCGCTCCTCCTGTTGGTGCAGATGGGTGCATAAACTACCCCCCCCCCCTCCCCCTTCATGCTTGCTCTTACATAGCATTCAAATGGTGTTCTTCATCTAAACCCCTAAACCCCTAAACCCCCTAAACCCCCTAAACCCCCTAAACCCCCTAAACCCCCTAAACCCCCTAAACCCCCTAAACCCCCTAAACCCCTAAACCAACCCCCTAAACCCCTAAACCCCCTAAACCCCTAAAACCCCTAAACCCCTACCCCCTAACCCCTCAAACCCCTAAACTCCCGAAACCCCGAAACCCCGAAACCCGAAACTAACCTAAACCACCCTAAACCTAAACACCCTAAACCAAAACCTAAACCCTAAACCCTAAACCCTAAACCTAAACCCTAAAACCCTAAACCCTAAACCGAAACCCTACACCCTAACCCCTCACCCCTAACCCCTAAACCCTAAACCCTAAACCCTAAACCCTAAACCCTAAACCCTAAACCCTAAACCCTAAACCCCAAACCCTAAACCCTAAACCCTAAACCCTGAGGCGCTTCCCGCAATGCAGCAGCGCCGCTTCGCTGCCTCCTCGGCCGTCCTGGGTGGCTGCCTGCCTGGGGCTCGGGTTACATCTGGGCTTGCCAGATGAGGATTACGCAATCCCTATAAACTCTATAGAAACCCTAAACCCTAAACCCTAAACCCTAAACCCTAAACCCTAAACCCTAAACCCTAAACCCTAAAACCTAAACCCTAAACCCTAAACCCTAAACCCTAAACCCTAAACCCTAA